GCACATGTCAGGCAGGCGCTTATGCTGCTGTCTCCCAGGTCCTCCTCCAGTTATTATTACCAGAGTAGGGTTTTTAGCAGATAGGCCATACATGACCATCACTGTATGGAGTGGAGCCCAGAAAGAACAGTGGGGGAAGGAGTACAGCTATTTAGGATGTAGATGAAAGAATGGAAAGGCCACCTTATGGTGGAAGAGCCTTCCTGCAGGACCCCAGTGGAAGCTCTACTGATTGATAGTAGTTCTACAATTCCAGAAGTCTTTCCATACACTGTCAAGGTTGACCCAGGTCCATTCCCAGACTTTTGACCTGTCTCAAATGACCATTCAAGCCTCGATTGTGGAGTTAAGCACATAACCAAAGAAGACCATCTTAAAATAGCACTATTACCTCCTCTCTCTCTCTGACTAGGTTGGGAACCAGACCTCTCCTGTCTTCCATGGCCCAATTTTCCCAGTACTGACCCTAACACTCACAAAGCATCCAGCAGAGGTACCATATACCTATCTCCAAAACTATCTTCATGACTCCCCTGTCTCACCACCTTTTAAAGAGACCTGTTTAAGAGGAAAAGGAGCTGTAGAGACACCCCCCGTCTGGGAAGCCAGTCAGAACCAAAGTCCAGGGTGGACAAGACAAGGTGGTGAGAAAGGGAACCAGAATCCCAGTTCTGGAGGCAGGTTTTTCCTAAGCTCATGCATGGTAATTATATGGCATGTCCTTCCCACATGAGTTCTTACAGCACTGACTACTGAGCAAGTTTGGCCCAATATGCCCTAAATCTATTGCTTATTTTCTGACAGTTGTGTGTTTAAAAATATACAAGTGTTTGTTTAAGGTTTTGATCATATCAGATGTCATTAGCAAAAATTAAACAGTATATCAGGTTTACCAGGTACAGAAAGGTTGGCCCTGAGGCCGGTTTCCCAATGATATCTTACTCTCAGAGGAAAGTTTTGAGTAGCAAAGGAAGAAACAAGTTTAAAATCAGTTTTTATTGTTTTCTCTAATAACGTAATAAAATCTCAATGCAAAAAGCTGAGAAAATTAAGAAAAAGAAGAAAGTTGATCCACAATCTGATGACTTGGAAAAAAATCCTTGTTAAAATTGTTCTGCATATTTCTGTATTGTTTCTGTATATTTCTATGAAAATGACAAAGGTATTTTTAAAACCATGGACACATACACACACACGCATATATATATATATATATATATACACACACACACAGCACAAAGTATTCTTTGTTCATATTTTCCTTAATATGCATCCATACACAATACTAATTCATTGTTCACTTTTTCTCTCATTTTAAGGAGAAAAACTTGTGCCAAATTAGTATCATTATCATTATGGCTATCACACATCTGTACACTAAATCCCTCATGAGTGGGCTTTTCCCAGTGTTTCACTATTATAAACAATGTTTTTATTACTTTATTTTTACAAACTTCTTTAATTCATCCACAGAAGTCGAATGGCTAGGTAAAGGTATACACAGTTATGAAAGGATCTTCACCAATGCTATTAAATTGCCCTCTGGAAATGCTGCACCAATGAACACCATCACGCATAGGTATGGCACCCATTTCCCCACATTTGTTAATTCTTCAGGTAACTAGGCACTTAACACAAGCTCTTTGGTTTTTGGATACAAGTTACTACCTCTCATATCATCAACCATTTGGGGATGAGTTTTCTTTGTATGTATTTTAGTCAGAGTGTTCATTTTTTTATTGATTTGCAAAAAAGCTCTACCAAAAGTTCTCAGTTTTGCCATGTGTTGCTATTGAATGGGTACTTAAGATTGCAAATAAAAAGTAGTAAGGCAACAAATATTTTAATTAATAAAATTAAAAAATAAAGAAAGCATTACTTTGAAAGCAAAAGGAGAGGAAATTCAGGTGATACAAAATAAAACCAGGATAGAAAACTTTAAGGTGGAAAAAAGAAAAGAAGAATCAATAATAACAAAAAAGAAATTCCAGAACAATTCTAATTTGTATAATAGAAGTTGCCTGTAAAATAACAAAACAAAATCTGGAGTTAGGGAAGACGATAGGACTCAGGCTGCATAGGCCAGGGACAGCATCTTGGATTCTTAAATTCTCCAGAGACCTGCAGATTAGATCAAAATGAAAAATAATACTCAAATCTTTTGCAGTGCTCCATACACTTGTCCAGACCATTAGCAAATCCTCCTAAGGAAGGCCAAATCCATTTAAAGGTACACTTAAGAGGAGCAGATAAAGAGGGAGGTAAGAAAAGAATTACAAAGCACAGGATGAAGTCTTGATGGGAACTGGTTAATCTGTCATTCTAATCCTATTGTCACTTCTTTTAGTCCACTAATTAGATAAAGAAACTATTAGACTTTCAGACACTAATAAGTGACTCCTTTTGAAGAAACTGTAACCATCAGGATGACTTAATCCATCTACTCCCTATCTCAGGAAGGAGTGAAGTAAACACAGAATTCCAAGGGGATCTTTGCCTTGGAAAGGTTTAACCTAAAGTGCATAATCGTTTAAATGAACTGCATGCATGTTTGTTTAGTTTTCATAGGAATAGTGTGAGATCCGTCTTGCTGTTTTCCCCATTTTAAATATGGGAACACTATGGTTCCGAAAGGATTGATCACTTGCATTATCAATGTGCTCCCAATTGTGCATTATGGAGTTAAAATCAGAAACAACTCCAGACCAATGTTCTCCAATAACAATGTAATGCTAGTAGATGTCCCTGGCCTATGCAGCCTGAGTCCTATCGTCTTCTCTAACTCCAGATTTTGTTTTGTTATTTTACAGGCAGCTTCTATTATACAAATTAGAATTGTTCTGGAATTTCTTTTTTATTATTATTGATTCTTCTTTTCTTTTTTCCACCTTAGCATTACAAGTCACATATGTATTTTTAAACGTGAAGGAAAGGTGTGGCTCTGTGGCAGAGCAGTTACCTGGTATGCACACACACATGGTTTGGCCCATACAGCTGCAAAAATGTTTCCTCTAAAATTAATTTTAATATGATTTATTTAACATGGTGTAGCTAGACTATTATGATTTTAATATGCAATTAATATATCATTTTCATTCTTTTTCATACTAAAATTTTCAAATCCAGTATGTTTTACACTGACTTCATGCCTCAACTTGAAGGAGGCACATATCAAACAGTGAAGTACATTTTAAGCACTTAAAAACCACCTATGTCTCTGAGATATTGCACTGGAGAAGCCAATTCCCCAACAGTGGCTCTCCAAGAGTGGTACCCAGACCAGCAGCAGGAGCATCAGTACCTGGGGCCTTTTGAGAAGTACACATCCTTGGGCCCAGCCCAAATCTGTTGAATCTGAGATTTCTAGGGGATGAGACCTAGAAATCTGTATCTTTTTTCCCCCCAGCACTTTCCAGGCAAGTGTTTGTGCTGCTGAGCTTTATCCCCGGCCCAGCAATCTGCATTTCAACAGGTCATTGGGCAGTCTTGATACAAGCTCAAGTTTGAGAATCATTACTCTAGACAATTGCCTCTCCATTCCAATCCAAGTAAATCTAGGAGAGCCAGGGTAGGCTAGCAGAGAGGAAACAACAACAACAACAAACCCTTTCCTTGAGATAAATAATTCTTGGAGATAAAGGTCATATTCCTTCGTATTGAAATACATTCATCTGGGTAAGTGTCCACTTCTTGGGACTACAGAATGAATTACTATACAATTTAGTTTATCATTTTGTTAAAAAAATAGTAACCATCTACACTATCATCTTGACTTAGTTCTCTTCCCCTACCCACTAAATGAAGATTATTTAATAAATATTAGCAACTTAAAAAATAGTGTACACAAAGAAAGAGCCAGCAGAAGTCTGATAATTTTAATGGTAAAAAAAAAGTGGGCAGAAAGACAACATAGATTTTTGAGCTAAAAAGCCAAGGCTGAGTTACTTATATTTCTTAGACCATTAGACCCGCTGATGGGGGGAGGGTAGAGTTCTTGTCAAAATCATTAAGAAGAATGGTTCTGAACATGCCTCAAAGTAGAATTTTCAGTAAACAGGAATTACCTATAAAGAAAAATCAGGAAGCCAAAGTGTTTCTTTTTATGAACTTACATCCTGCCATAGAAACGCTGGATAGGAAATAAAGACTGATGTATTCCCAACTGTATTCTAAACTGGCACCTATTTATCAAGGAAAATCTGAGCAAAAGCTCAGACACAGTGAAGAGAAAGGAATAAAACATGAAAGGTTTGATTGTCCTAAGAAACCAAAGACAACCAATGCCTGCAATTAGACATGATTTGAAGGAAAAATGTACAAAGGAATCTCTACTCTGATTTTTGGGTTCCTTAGGCACTGCCTGTGCCGCTCATGTTTTGCAACACTTTCTTCAGACTTCTGCTCTAAAACAAAAATAATACGTGTGTTCACGAAAGTAGGCTCATAAAATGATACTCAATTTCCTCATTCTGTCTGTTGTGTGTTTCAGGGTTCTCTTCAGCTTTTCCACGTTTCGAGGACGGGATTTATACTTTGCTCTTCACTTTGGTTTAGTCTGACGAGAAGACACGCTGCAATCATCACTGTAACATTTTATCTTCCGACCTTCAAATAGAAAAGCAAAGCAGTCCTTTCTCACCGAGGACAGTTTTCGTGGTTTGCGGGGAAATGGCAGGTGCTCATCTCTGGCGGCTCCCGCAACATTTCTCAAAGCAGAACAGCCGCTAATCTCACCCTCCTTCTCCGGCCCTTTCCCATCAACTCTCAACTCCACTCAGTCCTTAAAACACGCACCCACCTCCTTCTCCACCTCGCATCCTCTCGCACACCCAGCACTGCACGCGCCAGGATGCCGGCTGCCACGGTAATGCTCTGCCCACTCGGCGGCCCCACCCAGGGCCGTCCCAGCCCCGCCCTAGAACCAATGGTTACGGCCCGCATTTCCAAGAAGCCCTTTTGATAGGCGGTGCGACCTGCCACTCTACGGGCGCGCCCCGCCTCCTCTCGCTCCGTGCTGGGGCTGGAGGGGCCGGAGCATCAGCAAGAGTAGCTGCTAGCAGCCGCGGCGGCGGCGCGTTGTTGCAGTTGCGCCATCTGTCAGGAGCGGAGCCGGCGGGGAGGGGGCTGCGGGAGAGGAGGAGGGGTCCCTGGAGCCGAAGGCCGCCGAGACCCGCCCGCTGGCCGGCCGCAGGAGCAGAGGCGAGGCTGCGCGCGGAGCCGGCGTCCTCCGCCGTCCGGCGCGCACGGAGGACTCCAGGGCGCACACAAAGCCGCCGCCCGCGCCAGGGAGGGACCCGGCAGCCGGGCCGGGGACACCGGCGCCGCCCCCTCGGCTTCCTCGGAAGGCCCGCGGCCCCCGGGCCCGCGTGGAGCTGCCGGAGCCGCCTGGCCGCGCCGGAGGAGGGCGGGGAGAGGACCATGTGCCTGGGCTCCGGAGCGGGGCACCGCGCAGGTAAGCGGCGGGGATGCGCGCGAGGCCGCGGGATGCTGCGGAGGCGCCGGGCCGCGGATGCCAGCGCCGGGCGACCACGCCGCGGGGCGCCGCGCTGCAGTCCCCGGTTTGCCGCCGCTCCGGGGCGCTCCGCGCTCGGGGTCTTCCCACGGCCGGGTCCCAGGACAGTTCCTAGGGGTGCGGCCACGGGCGGCGCATGGATGGGGGGCCCATTTCCTCTGTAATTGGCTTGGGCGAGAGACCGGCCCAGACTCGGCCCCCGCCCTCCTTTCGGGGCCCCCCGCGGGGACCGGAGCTCTGCGTGTGTGTGTTTGTGTGTGTTGTTTTAATGTCAGAGATGATGTAATCACTTAATAATTGATGCCCCGTGCTGCTTCCCTCCCCACCCAAACCCTGCCCCACTCCTCCACCTCTCGGCCTCCTCCCTTGGCGGCCGTCGCCTTCCCCAGCGCATCCTCCTGCCTATTTCTGGCACCTCCCTTGCACTTCCCCCATCCTCCCCTTCACTCTTCCTGTGCCACCACCCACCCACCGTTCCCCTTTCCCCTGGAGCCTTCCCTCCTCTTCCCATGTCCCCCACCCCTGTGCTCCTCGGGCTCCTTTCTCCTCCCTCCCTGTTCACTCGCTGGATTTCCTCTCCACTTCCCTAGATCGATGGCTGTTTTTGTTTGGTCTCCTACCCTCTCTTATCTCTGCGGCCACAGGCAGAGGGGACTGGGCCAGAAAGAGGCCACTGAGCTGGAGCCCCATTGGGGTTTGCTGGATTCACTGGGGAGAGGGATAATAAAATCACCCTTCTTGCCCCTCCTTCCTCTGATAAATCACAGAGACTCGCCGTGTGTGTGTGTGTGTGTGTGTGTGTGTGTGTGTGTGTGTGTGTGTGTGACACAAAGAGCCCTTTCAGTGCATAGAGAGGAGACACACAAAGTACCCAAGGATAGGCATGATGCTTCTTGTTTCTCTACCCTGGGGCTTCCTTTTCTTTCTAGTGAAGCAGTTGATCTCTCAGAGTCTTTCCTGCCACATTCACCAAATTAAAAAGAAAGAAAGGCCCCCTAGATGCGGGTGGCAGGTGCCGGCATTTTGCTGTGTGCACAGACCAGTAGTGTTGACTGGCAGCTGCAGTGTTTCTTACATTTTTAAGGGGAACATGATTCCAGCCGTCTTTATAGTTGGTCTACTTTTTTTAAGTAGCCTCTCCACGCCTCTTTTCCCTTGTCTTTTAGGGGACATTACGGAAAGCTGGGATAGGATAAATTGGTGTAAGATCAGGAGGATTTGGTTTCTGAATCAGAATTAAATTAGTGTTTGACAAGCATGAGGCAGCCTGGCTTGCTGCTTCTCTCAAGTCTAAAGCTTTAGCTTTCTGAAGTCCTTGGGTCTTCCCAAGGGTGCTGGTGTACCGTTTTATTGAAATAGGTACCTGAATATGGAACCTCAATAAGACAACATTGAGTTAACATTTGGTAGACCACTGGAGTTTGTGCCCTGCCCACCTCAAGATAATCTTCAGATACCCACATCCTTCCTCTCACCATCGGGGCAACTGCACCCTTTGTGCAGGCTTTCTCCCCAGTACCTGCCCCATGGGAAATGCTTTCAAGAGGAAGGGACTCAGACTTTTGGAGGAAGTGGTTTAACTATCAGAATCTTTGGGGCACTTAGCTATGAACGGAGGATATAGAATTCTGAACCACCAGGTATTTCTCTTAAAGTGGAAATGTTATGTCTTAAAGTACAAATCTGGGGATTACTGCTTGATTTTGTAAGCCAGTGACTAGTGCGTAATTGACACTGCCAAAGATTAGGTTGGTCCTATTGATTCCTAAAAGCATGGCTCCTAAGTAGCATGTAGCATATCTGTCTCAAGTTTATTCTTCAAGAAGTTTGTTAGAAAATAGTTGTTATGATGCATTATACATTTACTGCTGTGCTTTCTAAGGATGTCTGTCTTGGAACTTTTTACATTAGAAAGGTAGCGTTAATGAGAGTGCTGCAAAAACAAAGACTTGTTTGATACCAACTGAGAAAGGAAAGTCAGTTCACAGTAAACTTGTGCTCTATTGACCAAGTTCAAGAAACTTAATGATAAAGTCGAATGTGAACAAATGCACACTCTGCCTTCCTCTGGGTCTTGGAATTGCCAACCTCATCTGACTTGTTTGAAGTTCTTTTTAACTTTTGGGGCCCAGCGCAAAGGCCAACAGTTCTGCAGAGGCTGCTTCATCTTCTCTCTTCAAAACACATCATGCCTCCAGTTCAGTTTTCAGACTTCAGCAGCAGGCATTGTGTTTGTCATATTTTACTGTTAGTTAGGCCATCTATTGAAAAGGAATCTCATCATGTTTGTCTCCTTTCCTACCAAGTTTTACCTTTTAAAGATCCACATGTGTGAGTTGGGCCAACACCTGTTTTAATTAGACTAATGTTAGCAGCTGTGAAAAAAAAAGCCTAGAAACAAATAATGGCTCAAAAGCAATAGACATTTATTCCTGCTCATATAATAGTCCAAAGTAGATTGGCCCTGGTCCATAGCTCTCTTTTCTCCATACAGTGATTCTGGGTCCCACATACCTATTTTGCAACTTCGTAATTCCCTAGCCTTCCATTGTAGCCTATTTCGTTGACAGATAGGGTGAAAGAGAGAGTAGGAGTGCAACCGTATTTAAAATGTCTTATCCCGGAAAGAACAGGTATTGCTCCTACTTACAGTCTTTTGGTGAGGTCAAGTCATATTACCACATTTAATTGCACAGAAGCCTGAGAAATGTAGGTTAACCATAGGCCCTGGAAGAAAGAAAAAAAAGCATCAAAAAGAAATGTTTTTTTTTTTTTTTTTTTTTATGGTGAATAGCTTTGCCAAGCAATGCCACTTAGCAAGAAGCTTGTAGGCAGACAGGAATTAAATGGAAACTTAGAAAAAATGTCCATCATTGCTTTGGTTCTTTTGATTCTGTGAGTTCAAATATTTTCATTTTAAGCATGTTAAAAAAACAACAACAACAAACAAACCTGTGCTTTTTGTCATGTCTCAAGGGGCCACTTTTGACCCAGTAATCCCCTGCTGTAGTCATCTGATACTTCCTGTGTTGGCTTTGATGTGGTTCTTTTTTCCCAGAAGCACCTTTGTGGGGCTAGTTTTTTTTTTTTTTTTTTTTTAATCAGGTGATTCATTAAACTCCTAGAGTGTCTAGAAGGGTTCTTAGGAATTGCAGTACTACCTTCTTTTTAAACACAGGACAGACCGAAGGCCATGAAGCTTTCTAAGAGGAAGGCCAAAGGTCAGTCAGCCCAACTCTAAGGTCTCACCTGACCCCTCTACTAGCAGCTGTCTGACAGTGTCTTTGAATCCTGTGTATTCTTTAAAGGTTAAGTGAACTTCTGTCCTTCTAGGAGCAAGGAAAACTATGAAGGTTGTGTGTGGCCCCTGTTTTCCACATGCCAGTGCTGGAGCAATTCTGCCCATGCTAGCTGTCATAATTAATAATGTATTTTTTCCTATGAAAACTTCATTATATTCATCTGTTCAGCAGCTATCAGCCTACTTTTTTGTTTTGTACAAGGTATTGGAGAGATGGGCAGTGGGAGTGAATAATTCTGCTTTTCAGGAGCTTATAGGCTACCTAGAGGAGATTAAAATAATAAATAATAGCCAACAGTTATTGAACTTTTTACATGGGCTATGGTCTATTTAAGCTGTAGTCTTAACAATAAGGATATGAGGTGGTTTCACTCATTTTTCAGACAGGAAATTGAGTCGTTTCAGTTAATTGTAAAGTAACAAACCCAATGCCATATAGCACTAAGTGGGAGAGGCAGAATCAGGCCCAGTGATTTTGTCAGCAAAGCTCTTGTCTTAAGCCACTAGACAATATTTGGAATACTGCATAAGACGTAATGATGATATTAATGCCGGGTGCTATAAGGAAAGGATGACTACAGCATTTTGGAAATTGAGACTTCCGGTTGTTGAGAAACAAAGCTTTATGCCCCCAAATAAATCACCATGCTGAGCCTGTTACTCACCTGGGAAATAAAAAAATTCAAACAGGAAAGCAAAGCATGTTGATATTGGAAATAGTTTTACTGTTTGATTCTTCAAGCTGGGTCTTTTTGTAGTCCACTGGTAGGTTCTGTATTAGTTGGTGAATTGTCTACCTACTTATTCATTCACTGTATTTCCATTTGCCAGACATTGAACTAGATGTTTGGTGGCAAAAGAAGAGAGTGATCTTGCCCCAAAGAACTTACCTGCTAGCTCAGCAGAAAAGTGAGGCAGTCTGTTGTAAATGCTGTAATTCTAGGCCTCCACACAGGTGCAAGAGAACGTTCAGAGGCCAGGGATATGGCTCAGTGGAATAAGCGCTTCCCTGGCAAGCGCAAGGGCCTGAGTTCAATCCCTGGTTCTGCAAAAAAAAAAAAAAAAAAAAAAAAAAAGAACGTACAGAAGGGAGCATGAACTCAGCAAAGGGGTGGGAAAGTGGGACAGCCAGGCAGAGAAGGCTAGAGGAGGAGGTGTCTGAGAGTAGCAGTTGGTTAGCTGAGTGTGATGGGAAGGCCCTGGCCTGAAAAGAGCAGCCCAGAGGGTGATCATACAGACCGTTGGGGACAATGCAATTAGTTCAAGCCCACATAGGGTGATGGAAGAGAAATGGACACAAGGAAGAAGCCAGATCAGAGGAGAAATTGAGATTCCTGTAGGTACTATATCCTAAGTGCTGTTTAAAATTTGTAAGTGGAGATGATGTGGCTTTGACCTGATTTGTATTTTATAAAGGTCTGCTGGCCACAGTGTGGGTTTTTGGCCAGAGGCAGGCAAGTTAGTTACTTGAGGCAGGCCAAGTAGTTACTAGATGCAGAGAATGTAGTTACTGGAAACTCAGATGAGCAATAGATGAGGATCTGAGTGGAAGTGGAAATGGGGGGAGGAGAGGTGTAGAGGTGGACAGAGAAGAGAGATTTTTGGGAAACAAGGCAAAGAGAGGCAAGGAGACTAGCAG